TGTGTGTATATATATATATATATATATATATATATATATATATATATACACACACACACACACACACACACACACACATATATACACACACACACACACATACATACATACATAACTTACCATAAATCAAGCAACAAATGTAAGTCAAATACAGATTTTTCAAATGACAAAGTTATATGTTAGAATCAAGTTGGTATGCAAGAATGAGAAGAAATTGTAGGCATAAGCACTGAAAAAATGTATTCCCCACTTATTTAGTGTTAACAAACTGAATATCTGAGAAAACTGTTCAAGGTTGGATTACAGCAACACTGTTTTGAAGATAACATGAACAAGAAATATGAGACATAAGACATTTGGTGAGTTAAAAGGACTAATAGTTACTGTATGTCAAAATGTAAAGCATTGGGTTGCATGTCTTTACACTTCTCATGGAGAAAGCAGGACATCTGGAATATGCGTTTATAATATATTAATACCTTTCAAAAAAATAAGGGGAAGAATAGTCATTAGATATTACAATCCAAAGAGCAAACCCCGTAGAATCGTGATGGTGAACCTGTGGCACGTAGAGCCCTCTCTGTGGGCATATGTGCTGTCGCCAGCTGGTGCTTGCCGTCGCCAGAGCACTGGAAAAACACCCAAAAAACAGCCCATTTCTGGGCCATTTCAGGCTGTTTTGGGGGCATTTTTCAAGCCATTTTTGATCCAAAAAACACTCTCCAAAAACGGCCCGAAATGGTCCGAAAAGCAGCCTGAAAATGCCCCCCAAAACAGCCTGAAAATGCCCCCCAAAACAGCCTGAAAACAGCCAAAAAACAGGCATGCGTGCGACAGTCAGCTGATCTTTGATTTTCCGGCACGCGCACATGCACACACATGCACGTTCCAGTTTGGCCACTCGGTGCTGAAAAGGTTCACCATCACTGCCGTAGAATAACTGAGACACATAAATAAGAGTGTACTCACTTGAGAATCATAGTCATGGTTTCTTTTCTGTCTTTCCCTTGAAAAGGTAGAGTACCAGTGAGCATTTCAAACTGAAAGAATAAATTTTTCATCAATTATACTAAAAGATATGGAGAAAACCCTTTGACAAGATTATTTAGCAGAACAGATTTTTCCCCCCTATAAATTAGTAGCTTTATATGCAATTTTCTCTAATAACAGCTTAAATTCCCAAAAGCTTAACTCCATATTTAATGTGCTGCCTGAAAATACTGAAACACAGCAGCAGCCATGAGGTGACCACGCTTGCCGCCTCCTGCACCTCAAAAATAATAAGACCTCCCTGAAAATAAGGCGAAGTCCTTATTTCGTGGGTCAAAATAAAACCCTGTCTTATTTACAGGGAAATATGGTAGTCAGATTAAAAACATGTTAAAATACCCTTTCTTTCAAAAACTGCATAATCATGTTTCTTGTAAAAGCTAACACTACTTTATTATTTTTGTAATATACAAGTAATGTTCATGTTAACAGTTTGTACTTTAAACACAGAAGTTCAAAATCTACGTATATGTTATTTAAGTCAATTTATATTGAAAAATATTGCATTAGTAAAAAAAAATTTTTTT